CCCCCGTGCATCAGGGTTCTTTAAGGCTGAAACTGCAGTACTGAGGTTTAATTGCAGTGCTGGCTCTTTGCGACACGTGAGTGTGCTTTAGGCTGCAGTTGGGGCACTAAAAGGCTCACGGCCACTGTCCTGAGCGAGCCTTCGGGGAGGAGCGAGGTGGGAAGGGTGAGTGCTTCCTGTAGCGGAAGGTGGGTGGGACTCCGAGGCCTTTCTGCTTATGAGGAGAGGTGAGTACCCAAGCAGTTCATCCGAAGAAGCCCAGGAAATGCTTTACTTTTCTGGAACCCCAAGGGAGGAAGAGGAGTATACACTCTTTCTCTGCCCTTCTGCCCGTGTGGTGTTTGCAGGGGCCCTGGCAGGTAACAATACCTGCCATTCTTTTTTTTTTTTTTTTTTTCCGGTACTGGGAATCGAACTCATAACCTCCCGCTTGCCGGGCAATATACCTGCCATTCTGTACCACGTACCCACCCTCCCCCTGGGTCGTGCAGGTAAACCCAGGGTGGGCGGAGGGAAGGTAGGAGTGCTTACAGTGTAGTTCAGGTTATTTGGAAAGTTGTCTTTCCGTGTTTAAGTGTGGTTCAGACCCTGGGGAAGTGGATGAGCGGCTCAGGTTGGAGCAGCTGTGGGATGAGGGTGAAGTAGATCTGCCTGGGCTTCTCTAGCTGCCGTTCCTGGGCCTCGGCTCCAGAGGGGCTCGTTCGTGATTCCAAACGTCTGGTTCTTTGGAGGGGGAGGGTTTGCTTAAGTCAGCCTTAGGCATTTGCTGAGATAAACAGAGATGGCCACCAAGATGCCCTGCCCTGGTTTGTGGAGTACACACCAAGAAAAGGGGCATGTCCTGAGCTGGGCAGCCAGCCACCCTTGGGGTCTTCTACTGCACGGGGATAAAAGGCGTTACGAGATCACTGCCCTTCATTTGTTAGAAAAACGGTCAGGGGCTTTGTGCTAGGAAAACTAAGCCTGGGCTGGGGTGAGGATTGTGAAAAAATTGTCCAGATGATCGATACGCCATGGTTTTAGAAACACCTCTCCCATGCCTGACAGACACCATAACCCCAGTGGGTATTAGCGCTTTGTTGTTACAGTAATAATTCCAATATCTTTGTAGTTGTCATATGCAGTTTCTAAACTTCCAGCTCTTTTGACCCATGACTTACGTGGAGTTAGCCAAGCTCAGCTTCCAAACCAGCTCTTACCTGGCGGGACAGCCAGAGAACACAGGCTGCCTTCAGGCCGCCCTCACCTTTCACCACGCATGGCTGGAAGGCTTTGTCACGGGCTGAGGAAAGGCACTTGCGTGTAAGCTGTGTCCTTAGTTCATTGACTGTCCTCTTGGCTGCTTTTTCTGACTTCCTGGTTCTGATCTTGGTCTGAGGAGTTTGTTTCTGAGTCATCCCCTGAGGCCGCAGCAGTGGCGTCTGTGTTCTCTGTACACACAGGCAGCGTTGTGAAGTGAGGGTTCCAAATTTTCTTTGGGGGTGGAAAGAGGATTTTGCACATTCCACTTCTGAGATTATAGATGGATTACAGGCTCGTGGGACACTTTCTGCTCAAAGTAAAAGAGCCTGATCCTAGCAAGGCATGGTGGTGCACGCCTGTAATACCAGCACTTGGGAGGCTGAGGCAGGAGCATCTCTGTGAGTTTGAGGCCAGCCGGGGCTACATAAGTGAGTTCAAGGCCAGCCTGCACTGCATAGTGAGACCCTGTCTCAAAAAAAAAAAAAAAAGGTGTGGTGGTGCATACCTGTAATCCCACACTCAGGAGGCTGAGGCAGGAGGATTGCTGCAAGTTCGAGGCCAGCCTGGGCTACAAAATGAGTCAAAGGACAGCCTGAAATGCATAGCGAGACCCTGTCTCAAAAAGACCCAAAAAAACAAACAAACAAAAAAACAATACAAGGAAAGAGACCCTGATCTTTCGGTCCCCAGAGATGTAGAGAAGAGCATAAAGTGAGGATTCCAAAGTGTGGGCCTTCTTTTCTTCGTCATGGTGGTGTGAGGTTGGCATGAGCAGCTAGGCGTGAGGAGTAACACCGTCAGAGTTGGGGCCCTCCCTGCTGACCCAGAATGATAGGTCTCAGTAGGAGCAGACCCTGCCCACAGTGTGGTAATCCCTAAGAGGACACTGGCTGGATCTTCCCAGAAGCGGTTGCCATCTGTCACTGTATGTTGAAACCCACCCGTCAGTTCACATGTTCATTCATTCGTTGTTCGTTCATCCGTCTAGCCAGCGGTCACTGCTTACTGAGCTCTTATTACCTGATGGTAGGGCACTGTGTAAATAAAAAAGAAAAGCTCTCAGCCTTCATTAAACTTATATTCTTGTAAGGTACACCAAAAGGAAACAAGATAAGTCAGTAAAACATGAAATATCCCTGTACCTGTAGACGTGGGGCTAGGCCCCGGTGCCCAGCACTCTGCAGAGGTACTCTCCCTCTCATATACCCGAAATCTCTCTTGACTGTATCAGCCTGATTCCTGCTCTATTCTGTGAGCACGTGAAGGCAGAGATAGAGTTAGGTGTGCTGTAATTCTCTGGCACCTAGTTTGGTGCCGGAGAGACACGTGGAAGGCACACAATGTGGTCATAAAACCACAGTCAACCTTGTAAAGAGGGCAGAAATGAGAAGCCTCACGGGCATCCAGCCATCACCAGCTTCCTGTGTGTCTTTCCTAGAGTTCGTCACCACTAAGTGAAAAAATAAATGACACACGTCTTTTAAGTGCTTTTTTCACCTTTTCTTTTAAGAACCTCTTTATTTGTTTAACGGCTCTATGATTCCATTTTAATGGTTGCACCATGACTATTTAACAAGCTCCCTGGTGACGCTTACAGCAATGTTTGCAGTCTCCCGTGGTGCGCACCTTGTAGTGGCTGTTACGCAGGTCTTCACACAGGTGCGAATCTTTGCGTGCAGGCCAGACTCCTGAAAGTGGTATTGTTGGCTTAGAGGATTGATACTCAGGACTGATTTGTGGAGTTCGGGGCGGGAGAATGAGGCCCAGGAGCTGGTGAGTGACCGTGTGTAGCAGCGAGTCACCGGTCCCTGTGAGCGCTGCGCTCAGAGGTTGTATCCTGTCTGATTTCACTTTTTTGTTTCTGCACCAGGCTGGAGACGGAATGTTCAATCGTGCGAAGCTCCTCAACATTGGCTTTCAAGAGGCCTTGAAGGACTATGACTACAACTGCTTCGTGTTCAGTGATGTGGACCTCATCCCGATGGATGACCACAATGCCTACAGGTGCTTTCCACAGCCACGACATATTTCTGTGGCAATGGACAAGTTCGGATTTAGGTAAGAGATGTTTGACCAGAGTTTGCAGCGTGTGCGTCGCTGCCTTCCACGTCGACTGGGAAAGGCAGCTTCTCTGCCTGTGGTGACTCTGAGCTGTCTGAGAAGGCCGCCTCAGAAACGGCTGCCTTTCACACCCAGAGTCAGTTACTCTTTGAGAGGGAAGAGGAAGTCAGAAACGCCCGTGACCTCCGCACATCCGGACAAGAGCCATTTCTAGTGCTTGGGGTGGCTCTCGCCTTTAGACGCCGAGCAGGTGCATGATTTTCTTACTTTCTGCCCCTCCCCCCATGTAGTTTGGAAAGCAGATTGGAATAATCCCCCTGCCCCACTCAGTCCTTGAGGGCAGCCCGCCCAGGAGATGCTCTTGGCGCTTTAAGAAGGATCGAGGAGCGTGATTTTGGTTCCCAGCAGAGCACAAGCCTCCGCTTAAACAGAGCCCATACTCGCCCACCAGTGTGAGTGTGCCTTGGTGAGGGCCGCTGACACCCGTCCCCAGGGTTGAAGGTGTGATCCCAAGTCTGCTGGCATATGGGGAACGTGGCCTTCTGGTCCATCGTTTTATCTAGAAGTGAGTGAGGTGGGGGACTTAGTAGTAGAGTGCTTGCCTCGCCTGCCTAGGCATTTGGGTTTGATCTCTAGCCTTACCCTGCAAAAAAAGCTTGAAAGTAAATAAATTACTTTGTTCCATAATTTATCCGTTTTATTATATTAACATAAAAAGTTTAAAATTATAACCTGTCCATTGAATAACATAATCTTTCCCATCCTTGCTTTAAATAAACCTGAAACCCCAGGTAGCTGTGCTGTGGGGTGGGTGCCCTGAGTGTTACGTACACCTGGTTTAGGCTGAGTACCCAGTGTGTTTGGCCTGTGTGGACAGGAGGCCTGTGGTGTAGATTCAGCTACTTTTTACCCTTTTCTCATTTTTTTCTTCCCACCATCCGCTGCTAGGGGCATGAGAGCTGTGAGAGGAATAAGTTGCTATTTTAAAACAAGAACATTTGAATGGAAAATCACTTTAAGCCTCTTGAGAAGTCTCAGCTCTTCGCTCCCTGTGTATCTTCATCTTTTTGACACACACAGATTTGTGCCCTGCCCCCTGTCACTTCTCCTTTGTAGCATACAGTAAGCCAGGATAGGGCCTCCGTGACGACGCAGTTCTTTACCGTGTCACCGTGTTTGGTTTAGAGCGAGCCAGTCAGGTTCGGGGACGGGACAGATGCACCAGAGAAAGCAGCAGACCCCAGAAGCCGTCCTCTCAGCTTCGCGTGTATCTCCACTGCAGTGGCTAATACCCACGTCTATCAAACATGGGTTCTCAAAACACCTTGTAGGTGTAACCCCCTCCAGTTTAAACCCTAACATCAAAGCTGTGGGCAGTAGCAGGAGGTAGTACAAAGGGTGGGCCTTAACCGAGGTCACCTAGGTAAGAATGTGCTACTTTAAATTAATGAAAGCAGGCAGTCAGATTCCTGATACACTTTAAAATGATTGTGTTTTGAACGTCCTGTGTTCTGTGTGACTTGACTGACTTCCCCTCAAAGTCTCAGCTAGAGCTGAATTTCTGGCGATGGGATTTTGTTCCTTTGGAGGCCAGTGTGAGCCTAAGCGTAGTTTGGAGCTGCATTTAGGGTCGACGCAAGACCAAAGAAGGCATTGGAGAACCCACAGGAAGACCTTTGTGTGGCCTCTGGGGCACGTTCTAATTCTTGACATTTCCTATCAATGCTTTCTCTGTGTCCCTTAAGAGTCCACTATTCAGAACCATTAAAATATTGAAATATAAAAAGGTGTGGAAGGAGGAGAGCCCAGATGCCTTGCTTCTTGGAAATATGTAAAAAACAGATTCACCATTACGCATTTTCCCAAGTCAGGACAAAGTAGAAATTTCAAAGGAAACTTTATATGCGCAAATTCTGAGAATTCTGCTTCACTTGTAAGGGTTAGCGTTCAGGCGAGTGTATCCCTGGACGAATGACAGCTAAACCGGTAGCTAGGACAGGATAACAAGGGGGAGCACAACAGAGGAGCTCCGGGAGACTAATACAGTCGCAGTTCAGGACCTCCGGATAAGGTCGTCCTCACAGGGACAGGGCACATAGGAAGCGGAAGGCTGAGCCGCAGTGCAAGAACTGGGCTCCTTCTTGTCGGGGACATTTTCTAAATCATCACAGAAAAAGCACTGTGTTCTTGGAAAGAGGTGTGTGTATGTATTTTCACACTGGGCGTGGAATCTAAGGCCTTTCCTTTGGGCTACATTCCCAGCCCTTTAAAATAATTTTTAAAAAATCTCTTTGAGGCAGGGTCTCTCTAAATCACTAAATAGCTCAGGCTGGACTCAAACTTGTAATCCTTCTGCCTCAGCCTCCCAGAGCACTGGGATCACGGTGTGCCCCACCATACCTAGATATTTTTTTTTTTTGCCTTTTTGAGACAGGGTCTCACTATGCAGCTCAGGCTGACCTTGAGCTCGCTTTGTAGCCCAGGCTGGTCTTGAACTCGCAGTGATCCTCCTGCCTCAGCCTCCCAAGTGCTGGGATTACAGATGTGTGCCACCACACCCAGGTGATACCTGGATTTTGATATGTGTCTTCTCTAAGATAATCTGAACCTTGATATAAAAGCAAAAACATACAAACAACCTCTTATAAACTCCCAACAAAAGATTCCAGAGAATAAAAGCAGCATGCTTTATTTTGGAAATGTCACAGCTTACTGACCGTGGGTCCTCTGTCTGTTCTCCCCAGCCTACCGTATGTGCAGTATTTCGGAGGTGTCTCTGCTCTAAGTAAACAACAGTTTCTTACCATAAACGGCTTTCCTAATAACTACTGGGGCTGGGGAGGAGAAGATGATGACATTTACAACAGGTAAGAGCCTCAGCTTAGAACTGTTTTTTTTTCCTGTCAGTCTTCTCTGTCAGTGTTTGAATCAGTGCGTGTTTTTTTTTGTTTTTTTTTTTTGTTTGTTTTTTTTCCGGTACTGGGAACCGAACTCACGACCTTGCGCTTGCCAGGCAGGCGCTTTGCCGCTGAGCTAAATCCCCAGCCCCTAGCGCGTGTTTATTTACAGCGCTTGACTCTCAGCTGGAGCGCAGGTCCCAGCCAGCCCAGACCTTAGGTGTGGACTCCTGTGGGTCCAGCAGGTACTGAGCAGGGTGTTTAGAAAAATTAGCTTCTGAGATTTTTGGGTTAGCTTTGGAAAACGTAAACCGGAAGCCAAGTGAAAGGGTGAGCCTCCTGTGATTCGCCACCTGCCATTTTGTGCTGAAGGTGGGAACCGACATCCTTCTTAAAGATTGGATATCTCACTATGTTTTCCTTTCGGTGTGAAATGCTTCCTTGGGCAGAATCCTGTCTTTTCTCATAGAATCTTCGTCCTATATTTTTGTTTTGGAGTATTTTTACCATCTACAAAAGAAGATAGTTCAGTGAACTTTTATTGACACCCCTGGTGGTTTACAACCCCCACAGCGCGGCCTCCCGCCCTGCCCGCATCCCAGGGCTCTTTCTAAGCAGGCACATTTTTATCCTGTGGCTGTCATCACAGGGGGTGACAGCCCACGGCCCCGAGGATGGACACGCGGCGGTGGTGGGACTGGAAGGGTCGGTGGTGTGTGGCACAGCCGTGATGCGTGTGTTCTGCACTTCCTGTTCACCGTGCCAGGCGTACGATCAGCGCTTGGGGGAGGGCAAGGCCAGCGACGTTCAGGTCCCGGATCAGCCAGTATTGCTTCTGACTTTGGTGTTTATGCTGCCAAGCTTTGATTTTGGTCCTGAGGGACCAACACAGGATCTTGTACCCACGTGGGCTGCCCTAGTCTTGCTCTCTGTGCCAAAGGCCCTTCCCCGTGGCCAGTCATGTGGGAAACCGCGCATGGTACCGACACTGGCGCTGTTTCTTGGTGCCCTCTGAGAAGGCTTTGGGAGTCAGCCTTTGCCTTTCTGTCCAGCTGCACACCTGCCGCTGCCTGCCCGTGCCCTGCTCTCACCTCCCGTACCTTCGCAGGTGCCGTCCCAGCTGCCCGAACTGCTCCGGCAGACCCGTTTCTCCTCGGCTTGGTTGTGCTCAGCCTTGATCCAGCTGAGCTCGCTGCTTCTCTGTCTGTGCCGTCCTGGCCGCACCTTCCCCTTCGGCGCGGCTCTGCGGCAGCATCTGAGCATCCACGCTGCGCTCTCTGAGCTCAGACGCCCCCAGCGCCCGGCATGTGCTAGTCAGGGCCGCAGACTGCAGAACCAGTCGCGAGAAGGCGCGCAGTGGGAGTGCGAGTTTCAACAAGTGGAGCGGGGTGCCCGCCTGACGCCGGGGTGCCCGCCTGACGCCGGGGTTTGGGTGGGCGTGGGCGGATGACGGCCTCGCAGCTCAGGCTGTTACACTGAAGCCTGTGGTGCCCGGTGATGGTGACTTGCTCCTGTGCTCTTTGCAGGCTGGTTTTTAAAGGCATGTCCGTATCTCGCCCAAATGCTATGGTTGGGAAGTGTCGCATGATCCGCCACTCCAGAGACAAGAAGAATGAACCCAATCCTCAGAGGTGTGTTTGCTCATATTCCTCTTTTTCACCTTTTAAAAAGGGGCAGGCTGCAGGGCCGGGGCGGGTGGAGAGGGCCGTGTGCCTCTAGGGACGTGGAGGTGTTCGGTCTGTGAGCAGGGGCCGGTGGAAGGAGGGTGGTGGGAAAAGGACATTTTAATCATTTTTTAGCGTTTCTGATTTGACGCCTTCCCTGCGCTTTTTTTCCGTGCAGGTTTTCCCGAATTGCACACACGAAGGAGACCATGAAGTACGATGGTTTGAACTCACTCACCTACCAGGTGCTGAGCGTAGAGAGGTACCAGTTGTATACCCAGATCACAGTGGACGTTGGGACGCCAAGCTAGCGTTTTGATACAAAGAAGAGACTGAAAATGGCCAGGGACCTCTGCTGTACGCCTCTCTGCTGTCGGGCTGGTCCCTCTCACGTGTACAGTCTGCGTAACGGGTCCCACGGCTCATCATCCAGACGCCTTTGCAGGTGACCAGGAGGAGCGGAGCATTTTGCCTCCAGCTTGGCCTGGCATGTGGCTTCTTCACAGTGCAAGGTGTTGGTCACTGTAGAAGCTGTCAGCGTGTGGGGCTTCTCGACGTGTTCACAGGGTCACCCCAAAGCCTCAGAGCTGCACACAGCTGAAAACTGGTGACCGTGGGACTTGGTCCCATTGATGAAACTGCTAAATTATTAAATGGGTAAGAATTTTGCTTTAAATTGTGACTTTTAAATTGTGACTTCATGAAAAATTGGAGACTGCTGCTAAAATTGATTGGTATGATACCTTTTGGTTGTCGAGTTTTAACAGGAAAGTTTCCACCGGTCTTATATGATGTCCCCTCCCCCACCTTCTCCCGGTGGTGTGCAACTATTACAATCACTGTGTGTTGTGTGTCTTTTCAGAAAAAAAGGATTTTAAAACTTGAGCCTTGAACCTTTTCCTGCTTGTGAAAGAATCCCAAGGCAACTTTAGCCATCAAAGCAAAGGTCCTGGGTATTGTCACTCACAGTGCCTGTCTCCAAGTTGTCTGATTTTTGAATGTAAAGACTTTTTAAAAGAAGCAGCGTGTAGTATTTTAAAAAATCAAGTTTTAATTATGGTGTAGCTTGATTTTTGTGTTGATCCAAATTTGCATAGCTATTTAGTGTTAAGTCATGACAATTTATTTTTCTGGGCATGTTATGTAAACTTGAATTGACTATGTATTTTTTATTGTGTTTTAAATATGGGAGGGGACTGAACTTGTTTTAGGAGAAAAAAAAAAATGTATGCTGTAATGGCCACAAATGGGCCTTTTGATTTAGCTGGCAGGCCAGGTTTTATGAAGAGCAAAATCACCTTTGGGTCCTTGATGTGGGTAAGGCCTTCTGGCCAGCGTGGTCCTGCCAGACCTCTGGGGCAGAGACCCGGGAGCCAGGCTCAGCCTGCTGGGCAAGCACGCCCCACTCCTCTGACTGACCCCGTAGGGCCCCAGGCTGTGGGGTTGTAAATAACAGTAGTCAGGTTGTTTACGCCCCCTCGCTCTCCCGAGCTGGAGGGAACCTGTGCTCCAGGCAGGGACTGCGCCCCAGAGCCTCTGCAGCCATACTGCTCGGCCGCCCTGCAGTGCCGGTTCTTCTGCTCCCTGCCCTGCCTCGCTCCTTCCTTCCTCCTGTCCCCTTCAGTTCCTTTGCCTCTTGCCCGTTCCCTAGAACTTGCCTGTGGCACTCAGGGTCAGACGGCCTATTCGTTCTCCAGCATGACTGTGCCTTTTAATTAGTGATGCAGACCCACACCCCCGGCTCCTCCTGGGAACTCTGGTGCCTGAAGCCTCCCATTCCCCCTCAGGGTTTTACAGGTGCTCCCACCCCTGTCACGCTAACCCACAGGGGTCCTTCACAAACCCACCTCTCCTTGGGTGAGATGGCCGGAGGCACTCCGACCACAGAATGCCTTCCCCAGGTCCATCCTGGGCTCAGGTCCTAAGGCTCGGCTGCCTGTCCTAGGGTTGAGCCCTTCGCTGTGGCAGCCAGGACGCAAGCCACTGCCCTCCTGGGCCCAGCCCTGAGTGAGGAGCTGAACGATTGCCTGGGCCCTACCGACCTGTGCCTTTATCGCTTCGAGCGTCTTGATGCTGACTTGGTTCTTTTTCCAGAAGTCTTTGTTTTGGTTAGAAGTTACCTTCCTCTGCAGAGCAGGCAGGCCAGTGCAGGGCGTTCCTCCCTCGGTTCCCCACGCCTTAAAATGTTATTATTCCAACTTGGACTGACTGCACTGAGAGAGTTGAGATAAACGCAGAGGCCTTTCTGTCCCTGATCCTGACTTTTCCAAAGTGCCTTATAAAGGAAACAAACGCCCTGAATGGTGAATTGTTACCTCCTTTACTCTTGAAATTCTGCATTTTTTGTGTGTATTTTTTTTCCTGTTACAGCTTCATTGATGTGAGTATGTGGTTCATTCTCAGAACCAAGGGAAATTCTGCTTCACCTGTACCCCCTGCGCGCCGACTTCCCAGCGCTCTCGGGGCATCCCCAGGCCCAAGGTACAGGGGTTTGCCCAGCCCATGAAATGCTGTGGGTCTGGGATCCTCACTGGACAGTCCTGGTCTGAGAGTGCAGGGACGGGAGTTACTGTCGTGGAAGTGACATGCGCTGTGCTTTTCCCTGCCTGTCCCGGTGACCCCCTGTGAAGCGGCCTTTGGGAAAGATCAAAGTTGGCACGGGAGGGTAAAGGAAGCGCTGTACTGGCCTTTAGCTTGACCAGGGTTTCTGCTGAGCACTGGCCCGGGTATGGAGTGCCTCACACAACCAGGAAACAACTTCCGTGTTCTCGGCATGCTGTGCTGTGTATTTTTATGTCTCACATATGCAAGTGTGTGTATTTACTGTGGGGGGCAATATCTGATCATGGTGTTCAGAACAGACAACTGTATTTTTGCCTGTGAAATCCAGTAATATAACACGAATAAATGACCCTATCTTTGTAACGCTCGGTGGCTTCTCTTCTGATTTCGGGGTGCTCCAGAGCTGGGGCTGCCGCTGGAAGGACCTGGGGGACGCACAGATGGGCCTGTCCTGCGCCTGTCTCGCTCGGGGTATCAAGGCTGCGCGGCTGGGTGGGGTGCGTAGGCCTCCCCGGAATCAGGAGTTGTCCCGTCGGGGCCCCATTTTCCTTATCTGTAAGCGTGAATAGAAACGCTTGGAGACTTTTTTAAGGCTTGGAAGAGATGATATATTTAAATCCATGACAAGACCCCTCACAGGTCCTCGCCGCAGAGTATCTAGTGCCATTTTAAAGTGAATTTTCCCTTTTGGTCACACTTGCTATTTTCAACAAATGCCAGGATAGTTCAGTACAGATCTCAGAGTGTGTTTACAGTGTAATTTAAATGGCATTATCCAAAGTAAGGTTTCCAGGAGGGCTAGCCAGGGGCTCCAAAGGCGGTTAGTTTTAGTTGTTACCTAGGTACTTGAGACAGTGTGTGTCTGGGGCGCGCTCGCTAGGGTGGCCCTGGTCGGGCACCAGCAGCCTCTCCCGTGCTGCTTAGGTTGATTGGCACTCCTGCAGAAGTGGGCGGAGGACGCCAGTGTGTGCAGCTGGCAGCCCGGCAGCCCACGCCGCCGCAGCTGTAGGCCCTGGCAGTGTGAAGCTTGGATGTGACCATTAGTTAGGAAACAGGAGCCGAGGGCACGCCCCTCAGGGCCACCCCAGAGTCGTCTGGCTGTCTCTGCCCGTCCGTGTGCCTGCTGCAGGGATCCCTGGTAAACGCAGGCCTGAGCAGGGGAGCCCCACGTGCAGGCGCGACCTTTGAGCAAGATGCCTCTGGACCTTGGGGCGTAGTGCTGCCTTACAGAGTCTGAAAAATCAGTGCTTTTCTCCTTCTCACACTAGCAGACTGCACTTCTGACGCCAGATGTGTGGCGATTTCTCCTGACCAGTGAGCACTTCGGTGGGCACCAGCTGGGTGTACTTACAGTAAAACTAACTCTGACACTGTCATGCTTGGAGTGGGATCCCAGAGGCTAAGCGCTCAGCCACAAGACGGTCCCCACCAATCGCAAATAGTAGTTTGTGACCAATGGGCTATAGACTGGGGTTCCCACAGCCACCTCCTAGCGTTCAGTTAATGCTCAGGGAATAAGCTTATACCTTCTGGTTTGGTATTACAGGACGTGACCAGTAAATAGGCACATGAAGAGAGGCGCAGGGCCGGCCTGTGGGAGGGGAGAGAAGCCGCTCCTCTCTCCCAGGTGTGCCTCCGTGCTTCCCCGTGTTAGCTGCCCGGGAGCTCATCCCAGCCCTGTCCTCTGGACACTGCATAAGCATCTGTATCATCGCATCAGCACGGCTTGCTGCGTCACCGGCCGTTGCTGACCCGCGCAGCCTGCCTGCAGCCTCCCCTCCCTGGTGCATGGTAGGTGGGGCTGAAAGTTCCCAACTAGTAACAGCTCGATCTTTCTGGTTACCAGCCCCTGTCCAGTAGCCCACCCAGAGTCACCTCACTGGAACTAAAGACACTCCTGCTACAGGAAGTTCCAAAGGATTTTGAGCTCTGCATCACGAACTAGGGTCAAAGACCAAATATTAGAACAGAAGATTCTCTTTATACTCCTGTTGCTCAAGAGATTGTGAAGGTTTTAAGACTTCTGTGCCAGGAACTAGAGGCAAAGGCCAAATATTAAATCAACATAAATCAAAGTGTCACAGAGGGCTTTGCAACCTGTAAGGTCTGGGTTAAAAGACCAGAGTGAAAAGTAAGTACACCCTTCCCCCTCCCAGGTCACACAGCCCCACACATACACATTCATGCTTAGCACATACAGCAGGCCTGGCATGTGCTCGGAGAAGCCAGGAAGCCTGAATTCAAATTTTGCAGCTGCCTCTTATCAATTCTATGAGTAAGCAAATGACTGCTCTGCCTCAGTTTCACGATCTGTGTAATAGGTATAATAACTATTTCTTACAGTTAAATAAAGCAGGCACAGTGGTGTGTACCTGCAATCCCGGCACTTGAGAGTCTGAGGAGTCAAGATTGAGTCCAAAGTCAGCTTGGACTATATAGCTAGCGCACTGCCGACCTGGGGTTACATAGTGAGACCCTGTATCCAAAAACCAAAACAAAAATGCACCACCAACAACCAAAAAACCCAAAAAGATTGAGTTAATAATTATAAATCACTTTGAATATGCCTTGTTCAAAAGAAGCATCAATCTTACAGATGCCTGCTGCATTTTTTAAAAAGGCTTGTGAGCACTTGTGCTGACACGTTGTATCAGTCAGGGTTTACTAGAGGAACAGATATAATAGAAGATAAACAAATGTACAAGGAATTACAAGTTTGGCTTACAATGGTCAGCTAGAGTTGGATGA